AAGTGAACTAACTGCCCATTGACCATCTGGGATAGCAGTGACTCAGGATTCACTATCTGGGGAAACCCAGCTGCCCCTGTTCTCCTGCTGGGGCATCTCATCTCCTGGACTGTCCAGGAGGCAGGAAGGGTAACTAGAAGGTGCCGCCTGGTGTCGGGGATCTGATGCAGCGCCCCCATTCAGACTGAGCCTGGTGTTGTGGTTTCTGCCATGGTGAGTACTCATTTCCGTAATTATTATTTAGCATTTGGAGAGTGGTTATTTTACACTCAGTGTTCTTCATAGTGAGAGGGTCTCCTGTTCATGCCAATAAAATTTCCATTTACTCTGGACATCAACCATGGTGATTAAAAAAATAAAGCCCATAAATTATTTACTGAAATGGAGGCTCAGCTTACGGTAATAATGCATTAGTTCAGCTAGCCATGACGCCTGTTAGAGGGTCATAAAAGATTTTTTATTTTCCTTCTTAAAAGACATTTGCAAGTAACCTACACATGACCTTGAACTGATCAATTTTCAGAGATGGCACTGGGAGGAGGGTGCATCAGGAGAGAAAAAGAGAGGGCTTTTTCTCAATCAGCCTGATTTTAGACAGTGAGGCAAATGCCTGTCCTCTTATAGCCTGCAGGGGAAGAAAAATGAGGAAAAAATGTGTGTGTGTAATTTTTAAAATAAGGACCAGACCTTAAAAATCCTTTAGAAATGGGTATTTATTTGATAGATACATAAATCTGAAAGCTGTCGAGAAAGACCCTTTGGAGAGTCGAGCCTGTCGCTATTGTTGAGACCACCTGTCACTTTCACATAAGTCTGGAGCTCCGTAGAATAAAGCCAGCCCAATGGTTCTGTCTTCATCTTTAAAGAATGTTGCATTTATGGAGCAGGATCGATCTGTGTATCTCAAAGCCTACGATGCTGCTCACGGCCATTTGCTGACTAATGTCTCTGGAGGAGGAGAGCAGCGAGTTTGTGAATTATGGCTGTCTTTGAGGTTCTCTTAGCAAGGCTATTTTTTTATTTTAAGAACGTCTGCTTTGATTAAAGCCATTAGAGCTGGAAGCAAATAAAAATGTGTTTGAATAGTACATGTCTTGCATTTTATAGCAGGAACCCAGATGAAGCCTACGTTTTAATTCTTGTTCCATTAAAGCAAGTGAGGAGGATTCAATTACCAAGTTAAACTAGGTCCCCCTCAAATGCCTGGTTTGGGGTTCTAAGAAGCCCCGTGGTAGGACACTTGTTCGAGTGATTCTTTTATTTATTTATCCTGTGCATTGCTTCAAAATATTTATTTATTTATTTATTTATATCCTCTTTTTTTCTTTTTTCTTTTGCTGCAAATGTTAGTTTTAAGATGGCATAGTTTAAAAATGACATTTTAAAATTCATTTTTAAAATGAATGTGTTAGGACAGGAGGGTTCAAGGTTTATGAGCAAATCTGTGAACACTTTGATCAACTTGTTTTTTGAAAAAAAATTTTTTTTTGTAGTTGTAGATGGACAGAATGCCCCCTTTATTTTATTTGTTTATTTTTATGTGGTGCTGAGGATTGGACCCAGTGCCTCATGCATGCTAGGCAGGTGCTCTACCACTGAGCTACAGCCCCAGCCCTGATCAACTTATTTTTATATTCATTAACCTTAAAGAGATCATCTGCACACTATGAGACTGAAGTGGTATTAAATTATCTAATAGCAAAGGAGACCTGACAATTCATTTCTAGTTATTAGAAAGTTCCGGGGTTGCTTCCCTTCCGCTTAACTTAGTTTTGTGGCTAATGATTTGCACTCTTGAAACCGTCAGCATATTTCTAATTCTGTGAAACCATAGACTCACTCTGTGTTGTGGATGTCGGGGTAACTCAGTGCTTGACAAGGAAGGAGCTCTGGGTGGTCTTTATGCACTCTACCTGGAGTGGTGGAGTAGGTATTCTTCAGTGTCCCGGATCCTTGGGCTCTGCCCTTGACCACATTTCCTGATAAAGCATTTTCCTTTCATCTGCCTTTTAGCAGTCTCTCTTCCCTGTTTCTGCAGCTGGGGCCTGAAATTTCTTTTCTTCTGCTTCCTTTCTTTCTTGCAAACCTGCAATATAAAAACCTGTATTCAGGTTGAGCTTTTGGCTTCTCGTATGTTCCCAGTGTGCCCCAGTTGACCTGTGTATACTGGGAACTTGCATAGGTGGAAGTAGCCTGGGGCAGATGTTATTGTACTAGCTTTACAGAGGCAGAGTGAACAGGGCCACAGTAATGGTACCTGGACTTTCTTACTGTGGGTAATGGCTGTGCAGGACTGAAGGGGGCGTGTGATGCCCGTCCTCTGTTAGCTCAGGTAGCCAGAGATGAATAGATCACACTCCACTGACCTTCTCAGGCTTAGTCCTAAGGCATGCAAGATCTCAAGCCTTGTTGGGATCATTAGCACACCAGGATTAATAAACTTTCCACTGTTGCTCTTCAGGGGATAAGGTTGGATTTTCACCTTGAAATTTTCTCTACCACTTTGACATTTTAAATGGCAAAGTAGAGATATAAGCTGAAAACAAATGTGTCTCTGCCGCCTTTGTATATTGCTGTGCTGGGTCGGTAGGCATTAACTGATAATTATCTTTAGCTTGGACTATGTGCAGATGTGGATGTGCCCAGTAACACAAGTATCTATGAAAACCTTTCTCCTCCATTCCTTCTCAGCAGATCAGTTTTAAATCATTGAATAATGTAGATGAATTTTAATTTCTGATGAAAGAAGTCCACGAAGTTCAGCTGCCTCCAGGCCTGGCGAGTAATCAGCAAGTCAAATGATTTGTTTAGTACTCCCCCGGATGCAGTGGGGGAGGGAGATATGGGGAGAAGAGCAGCAACAACAAAAATCCTTGATTCTTGCCCTCAAAGTCCCCTGGAGTCCCCTGGGGGCCCGAGGCACATGTTCAGTGTGTGGCTGGACCCACGCTATTTTGCAAGTCAGTGGGATGACCCAGACCAGCTTGGAGAAGGGCTGAGTGACAGGATAATTAGAACCGAGCTGCAGCAGGGTGGAGGGCCTGCCGGTGGATAATAGCTTGTTTGCTAATTGCCAACACCAGATTTTCTGGGCCATTAGACATTTGGTTTCTTCCAAGACCTTCTGTGCAAATGTGGACGCATGGCCGCAGGCCTTCCAGGTAGCAGGTGGAGAGAGGGCAGCTCCTGGGCCTGGATGGCGTCTCTCCAAGGGCTGTCTGAGGGGCCTTGGGCAGGAAGGAACTGTCATGAACAGGTGGAAGGATCACCCAGCTGGGACCCTAAGTGGAGAGGCAGCGTTCACCCAGCTTTTATGGAAGGTGGGACCCTTGTGCTGGGAGATCAGCGAAGATGGTGGAGTTAGCAGGCTGGTGGAGGAAAAGAGCTGACTTCTCCATGCTCTTTTGAGATCCCTGGGCCATGGAAGCTAATAGAAATGGGAAATGGCTTTCCCTCCCAGAGGAGCAAATTGTTTTTCTTGTTTAAAAAAAAAAAAACATTTTTTACTATGATAAAGTATATGTAACAAAACTTACCATTTTGACCATTTTTAACTGTACAGTTCAGTGGCAGGAATGATATTCTCAATGTTGTGCAACCTTCACTGCTATTTATTTCTAAAACTTTTCATCACCCCATTCAGTACCTTTGTGCTCATTAAGCAATACCTCTCCATTTTTCCTCCCTCCGGTTCTGGTAACCTCTACTCTACTTTCTGTCTTTACAAATTTGTCTATCACAGATATTAAACATAAGTGAAATTATATAGTATTTGTCCTTTTGTGTCCAGCGTATTTCACTTAGCATGTTTTCTGGTTCATTCATGTTGTAGCATGTATAAGAATGTCATTCCTTTTTTGTAGCCGAATACTATTCCTTTGTATGCACATACCACCTTTTATTTATCCATTTATCTCTTCATAGACACTTGGGTTGTTTCTATCTTCTGATTATTGTAAATATTGCTGTAGTGAACATTCACACATAAGTACCTCTTTGAGTCCCTGTTTTCAATTACTTTGGGGAGATACCTAGGGGTAGGATTACTGAATTATAGTACTTCTATATTTGACTTTTTAAGAAACCACCAAACCGTTTTCCACGCTGTACCATTTTACATTCTCACTAGCAATGCATAGAGTTCCATTTTTTTTTTTCACATGTTTTCCTACACTTGTCCTTAAAGAATTGTCAACTTAGCGGGTGTGGAGTGGTATCTCATTGTAGTTTTGATTTGCATTATTTATCCAATGAGTAATGACATTCAGCATGTTTTCATAAGCCTCCTGACCATTTGTATGTCTTCTCTGAGAAATATCTATTCAGCCTTTGTCATCTCGTGGCTCTCACAGAGCTGGAGCTGAGCCTCATGGGGAGGAGAGCGATCATGAGCTTGCAGAGAGGGGAGGCAGCTGTGCAGACTCCAGGTCTCACATTTGCTCTCACCATTGCTCTGTCCCTGGGCTGTTGGGTACTCACTGTAATGATGCTGTTTGAGTTCCAACCCAATTGAAAGAGATTTTGCAGGAGCCTGAGATTAATGCAAAGTGATTCTGCAGAAGAGGCAGATAGAGCCGCTCCTGTGCTCCCTCAGAAGCAGCCATGCCTTTCCAAGTCACCTCGAGCCCTCCTGTCAGGTATTAGGCTCTGCATTAAATGGAGGGGGACATGCCAAGCCCCGTGTGGCTCCTGGGATTCATAGGTGCAGTGTCCAGCCTTTGGAGGACTTAACAGCATCTCCTGCTTGGGGGGGTTGGGTGGCACAGTGAGAAGCCTGGTAGTCACTGGGAGAAAAGGGACAGGGACATCTCACTGGGTCAAGTTCTAATACCAAACCCAAAGGGATGCTGGTGTGGACTTGGAACCCCTGCCTTCCTGGCTGGGGTAGGGCCCTGCTTTCAAGCAGCCCAGAGCCTGAGGAGCAAAACCATGCGGGCCTCACTCCTGTCCCCGGGCCAGCCTGTGCCACGTCTAAGGGAGGACTTTATCTTTCCTTTCAGAAACGGCCCCCACCTCTGCATATTCATCTCCAGCCCGGAGTCTTGGGGACACAGGAATAACGCCTCTGTCCCCTTCCCATATCGTGGTAAGAAGTGTGTGCATGTGTGCATGCGCCCGTGCATGTGAGCTGGCTACCTTTTCCTTCTGCATCTGCTCTCACTGTTCAGGCCCCTGGGCAGCCCCGCATGTTCACTGGGTGGAGATCAAATCCCAGGTACTGGCCATGGGAGCCCTGCCAAGCGCCTTCCCCACTCGGGGCCTAGAAAGGCTTTCCACCTGTGGCCCATGCTTCCAGAGCTGAGGGCCTGGGGGAGTGGCACCAGCAGGCAGGCTGGGCGCAGCTCTTTAAAGGCCAGTTCCAGCCACCACAGGCACCTGCCGGGAAGGAAGCGAATCAGTGAAACGCAGTGGCTTTGCCCTCTGCCGTTCCCTGCCTGCTTCTCACTGTGCCACCCAACCCCACCAAGCCTGAGGCTGAGGTATTGCTTCTGCAACAGTTTGCCCAGGAGAGAACATGGGAGCAGGGTTTCGCACTAGCCATTGCTCCCACCCTGCCCTGCACTTTAAGGGTGGTCCTTGTGGGGCTGCTGTAAAGAGGGGCATCCACGCAGCCAGTGCAGTCAAGCACCCGAGGAAAGCGTGGCTTTGCATGAGCTGCACAGCTCACAAGGACCCTGCTGAGAAGAGCTTTGGAGCTTGGTAGTGGGTGTCAACCTGTCCTGGTTTCCTGGAACTGTCCCCCTGTTGCACAAAGTCCTGCATCCTGGAAAGTCCCTCAGTCCTAGCAATGGTGAGGTTGGTCACCTGTGGCCAGGTCCTGTGGTTTCCAAACTCTGCACACTGAGGGTTCCTTGTAGAAGCTTCAGGTTGGTGGAGAGGGGGACGGGGCAGGGGACGGGGCCAGTGGTTAGGTGGGTATTGTTCTCACCTCCTGCTTCAACCAACACACCAGCTTTGAAATGTGCTGGCTTTTATAATTTGGAGTTGTGTGGGAGTTAAAAGAAAGAAAGTCTACATTGCTTTTAAAAAAAAAAAGAACATCTGCCCAAATGACTTGACAGATGAGGAAAGGCTCTGACAGATGAAGGCATGGGCATGGCAGGGTCACGTGGTTGGCATTTTGCAGGATCAGGTAGGGTCCTGGGTGTGCCCAGCCTGTTCAGGTGCATGAAATGCTGGCACAGATGGAGAGATCACTGGGAGGCATGAAGGGCACAGCTGGCAGAGTGCTCGGGGTGGTCACTGGAGGTCTGCACAGGAATGTGGAGGGCAGTGGGGGAGACCGTGTCAAACCAGAGAGCTACTGGGCTTCTCCATGGTAGTACTTCCATAATTAGCCCCAGTCATGCAGGGTTGATGAGCTGCAAGCAGTGCCCTGCCCAGGTGTCCTGTCCCCACTCGGGCACCTCTGTCTCCCCAAACCACTCAAGTGGGGCTGAGGCTGGCCTGCCCTGTCCCCAGGGCTGCCACGTGGCAGACTTGAGCAGGAATGTGGAAGCCCTTCTGCCCGCAGTGAGTTCACAGCTGGGCTGGGTGGAACTGCCCTCCCCAAAGCCAGGCCTGGCCCGGGCACAGAGCCTCACTTGTATCTACAGAATGATGCCGACCCCAACGTCTCGGAACAGCAGACGTTTCTTGTGGTGGTGGCCATCGACTTTGGGACCACATCCAGCGGCTATGCCTACAGCTTCACCAAGGAGCCAGAATGCATTCACGTGATGAGGTGAGTGCTGTGGGTGGGGCAGGCTTGAGCGGCACCAGGGGCAGGGCAGTCAATGGGCAGGTGAATGGCACTTAGGAGGAGGACCCTGGATTCTAGCCCAGATCCACTGCCCCACTTTGAGCAAGCCATTTCTGACCCACAGGCCTCCAGTGCCTGTCTCCGAAGCATTGGTTTAATACTGATGTAGTTGGTCAGGGAGGGACCGTGCACTGTGCTTGAAGCCTGGCCAGGTGACTCTAGGGTATGGCCTGTTGAGAGGAGCTGACCTACACAGCCTCTGTGATGGAGGAGGTCCAGGTGCTGGCTCAGCCAGATGTTGGATTGAACCAGCTAAACCTCAGGTTCCTTATCTATCTGTGAAATGGCAATAGCAATGGTGCCTGTGAATTTGCCTCCTGCAAATGAGATTTCCTATCAAGTACTCAGCATGCAGAGAAGTACCAGCTCTTTCAGGTGACAGTATCACAAGAGCTGAAGGCACAGGCCCGGGAGGAAATAGGAGGGGTGAATCTCAGCCAAGTGGCCCTAAAGGCAGAGTAACCCTGGCCTCCTGGACACTCTGTGCCAGATCACCCCCACCCTGCCCTCCATGATGCACGGAGCAACCCGGCAGCCCTCACACCACCCAACCCTGGAAACCAATGTCCACTAGGACTCTGGTTTGTCCTGGCACCAATGTTGGCTCTCTCAGTGGTAATCTTTGACCCTCTTGTAGACTCTGTGGCCCCTCAAAACTTTGGAAGCCTGGGATTTATCATCCTAATTTTCCATCTAGGAGAGGGTTTGAGTTTCATTATAAATGGTTTTGATTTTCCTTTAACTGGTTAATTGTGAAATTTATGCATCACCCCCAGAGTAAGATTTTTAGGTGGTTTTATGACATGCAGTGTAAAACACTAGCCTACTAGGTTTGGCTTATTATTCTCTTGACAACCAGATGTGGTTCAGCCTGAGGCCCTGTCCTTATAAAAAACTCCAGAGGCCCTTGGGTGCCTGGGTGTCATCTCATTAGGAAATAATGAAAAGCCAGTTCTACTAGACCACATAGCGCTCAGCGGCCCCTAGGATTCCATCTCTGGCAGGATCTGTGCTGCTTTCCCAGATGGAAAATAATGCCAATCAATGTTTGTCTGCTTCCAAATGTTATTTCCACAGGAGAGTCAGGCAGTGAAAATAGAAAAGAAAGAGTGAAAAGGCATTTTATTTGCCTGAAGGAGCACTGAGGACCATCACTGTGGCTCAGGCCTTTAGAGACGCATCTTTGTTATTGTAGAGTCCTTGGAGGAGGTTGGTTCTGCTCGAATTTTATTTCAGTCAGAACATATTAACATAACCATGATACAGACTGATAAAGGTAGGAATGAGGAATGTAATATTTTGCATTTAAATAGGAATGAAAGAATCAAAATTTGAAGGGAAAAGCTCACGGGGTCATTACTGAAAATGTCACTGTTGATAGTAATGACAAGTCCATTTGTGAAAAGTGGCGTATAGAGCTGCTGCTTGGCTTGAGAATCATCCCCAAGTCTCCATGCAGTCACCTCGGGGACTTTGGCTCCTGGAGTGGAAGGCTGCATCCTGATGGAGCTTGGCTGGGAAACTGGCCAGGGATGGTTCCAGAGCCATCGGAGCAGCAAATCTCGCTGGAGGTCGGCACTCCATCTGGGCACCGTGGCCCAACTGATGCTCAGTGGTGCCGTGCAGGGAGCAGGTTTAAGCTCAGCCAGGGGGGTAGCCACCTCCCCAGGGGGCCAGGGGAGCGCCCCATTTCCCCTCTGTGCTGAGTCTCCACCTGAGGCTGCTCCCAGGGTCACGTGGAAGGGAGCAAGCTGCCTGGGTCCTGGCAGCCCTGGCTTCTGTGCAGTGAAGAGAGGAAGCGTGAGTCACCTGCCCTCTCCATCCCACTTCCCTGTCTCTCCTTTCTTTCTGGTGACAGAGGAAGGAAGCTTCTCTGGGGTTCAGCCTACTCCTGCTCTGCTCCACCACCTGAGTCTGTCTTCCGCCTTTCTTCTGGCTCCGCCTTAGTGGCCCTTTCCCTCCTCGATGTTCCCATCCCTTCTTGTCACCCTGGCTGTCACTGATCTGTGAGCTTCATTTCCTGCCAGTATCTCTCCCATGAACTCTGGGGTTTTATTCTCCACCCCTCCCTCCAGGAGTTCAACACCCTGCCCTTCCCTCCAGCTCCCCTGGCCTGGCTCTCAGCTCTTGTCTGTGCCCTCTCCTCTGGGCTCCTGAGCTTGCGGACTCAAGGGTGCCCGGGCTCCTGCTCACGGCCATGCCCAGTTGGCTCACTTCTCCCTCTGGGCGGGTTTGGCACTCCTCTGCCCCGACCTCTCTCTTCCTGTGGCTTCCAGGCCAGGTCTCACTCTGCATCTGCCCGCTGGCTGCCTGTCCGCCCTCTTTAGTTCAGTTTGCCCTCGTGAACAGCAGCTCTGATGCTGTCACACTCTGATCTAAGACCTTTGGTGGCTCCCCATTATTCACGGATTTTCCTAAGTCCTTAGGGTCCTCCCCAGCCCCGGGCCACCACTTTCCCAGTCTCATTTCTCGCTTTTCCAGCTACACAGTCGCTCTTCTCATTTACACACGTTGCCCACTCCTGACCTGTTCACCGCCAGCAGCCAGGACGGTCCTTCTTCCCTTTGAGATCCAATCTTCCTTAGCTTCTCCCATCCCCCTGAGTCCTGCACACTTTCCTGGCCACATGGCCACATGGGCACTTGTTCCTTCTCTGATCTCCTCAGACCACTTCTCTGGTCCCCTCATTTCCATCTAAGAGGGCTGGCATTTATATATTTTTTTCAAAGAGGATTCAAGCCAACCGGATGCTGTTGAGTGCTTACAGATTAACCCCCAACCCCTGCAAAATCCAAAACAAATTACCTACCTACCTGAGTTATTTGAAGGCAGAACATAAATTTTCTGTCCCTGTGTCACCAGCACGTGGCACAGAGTAGCTCCTCAATAAGTGCTGAGTGAGAGGGTAAATTAGAACGTGTTATTGAGCAGGAACGTGGCAATTGCCCCTTCCCCTTCTAACTGAAATCCTGTCTCTGGCCACTGGCCAGGCACCTGGACCAGAGTGTACCTACACCTTCACATCTATGACAGCTATGCATACAGTGGGTGCTTACTCAGTGCTGCCTGAACTGGGATTTTCAAAGGCCTCATAACCTCTGCCTTTCCTTGGTGGCAGGCGATGGGAGGGAGGCGATCCTGGGGTGTCCAACCAGAAGACCCCGACCACCATCTTGTTGACCCCTGAGAGGAAGTTCCACAGCTTTGGATACGCTGCCAGGGACTTCTACCATGACCTGGATCCCACCGAGGCCAAGCAGTGGCTGTATCTGGAGAAGTTCAAGATGAAGCTGCACACCACAGGGGTGAGAGAGTTCTCCTCAGGAGCCAGCCCTGGGGGGCAGGATGTGTCCCAGCCCAGAGGCCCTCAGGTTTCTCCACAACAGAAATTAAGGTCCATTTACCTTGAACACATGACACTTTTTGTGGGACACATTGCTTTCTGGTGTCCATTGGTCAGAGAGACATTCAGAATATTGAACTACTCATTTGTCTTGGAAACTGGTCAGTCAGAGGGAACCCTGGCTGTAGGTTGGGTACAGGATGCTGGCCCCCCTTCTGTCCCAGGAGTCCCCCCTTCAGTGGTTGGGTTGTTGGGAGATCAGGAGCTCCTCTCTGCACAGGGAGCAGCACAGGGAGGGCACCTCAGAGGGCACCTCAGGGGCTGAGAACATCTGGGGGTTCATGGCAGTGGCTATTAACTAATCGGTTTGGAAGAAACAACCAGTAACAGCTGACAAATCAACCCTCAGTGTGGGGAAGGAGGAGCTCAGGACACCAACTCCCAATAACAGGAGGCTCACATGCCAGGCTGTGGCCTCACTTCTGTTCCCAGAAAGCCAGTTCGGTAATGGACGCTGGAGCTCGAAGCTTAATAGGAAGCTGGAGTTGTTTTCAATTTGAGCATTTTCATCCCATAAACTCTCTTCAACTCCCAGGACTTGGAGATGCAGAGAGTGATAAGGTTTGAGACCCCGGACCCCAGGTCCAGGCAGCCTGGGTTTAACTGCTGCCTCTCGTACCTTCAAGAGGTTTAATACAAGTTACTTAACCTGCCTGTGCCTCATTCAACTTCATCTGTAAAATGGAGACGATGACAGCACCTTCCGTGCTCGTGGGGGAATTGTAAGGATTAAAGGAATGAAGATGCAGAAATCTCTCAGAACAGTGCCCTGGACAGGGTAGGGCCTAGTCCAGGGCTCCTCCCATTAGCACCACTTTCCTTTGTCAGCCGGCAAATGTTTGCAGCTGTCAAAACAAATGTCAATGGGAGACTCAGCAGCCAGCACCCTGCCTTCTAAGGTTCTGTGAGCACCTTACCGTGGGTCTCCATCTGATGCAGATGGACTCTGGCTGGAAGTGACTCCTCCCATTTCTCCTGATGGGATTTGATGCTGAATGTCAGGGACTGTACAGCCGGAGGCAGTGTACTGTTGACTTCAAGTTCATTTTTTTTTTTTTTTTAAGTTCAGAGCTGTGGCTTCCTGGTGCTCTGGCCTTCCTGAGCCTGGGGGCCAAAGGCTGGGTTATCTTTGCTAAGCACCAAGAGAGGGAGGTGGCAGGTGGGACAAGAACGTGCAGACGTCAACACCAGGACAGTTTTGTACCCGCTGCTGCTTCTCTCTTCAAAGGCGGAGCATAGTCACCCAGCCTACATCAATCCAGAGGTCCCCGGATTGTTTCCTGGCATTAATGAGCCTATTGGCCCGGGGCTTCCTCCTGGTTTTTGCTCCACTCTCTGCCCATCCTCTGCCCCACAGCCCCACAGACGCTTTTCTCATCATTTTTAAAATAACCTCTGTCCACCTGGCATCTGGGCTCCATGGAGCAGTCTCCATCCAAGGACTGTGTGCAGCAGCTGCTTTGGCTTCTGGCAGAGAACTGCAGGCAGCCATATTGCGCTCCCAGTGGATTAGACAGGGCAGACCTTAAAATAGGAGCTCTTCTATTTTGGTAGCTTGGTTGGCAGCTAATCAGGGAGTGAGAGCTTCATGTCTGTTTAGAGTCATGCGTGGCAGTGAGTTGACATGAATTAGGCCTCCACTAGGGGCCTCTGAGGGTGACCATGTGTGACCACATATGGAAATAGTATGTAAATCGCACCAGGCGTGGTGTCTGCTGCCCATTTTCTCTTCCCAGCCTCTGCTATTGCCCTGAAACCCCCAGATGGTCCAGGGAGAAAGAGGGAGGGAGGGACATTGGGGCCTATAGGGAACAACCGGAGCCTCTTACACAGTAAAGGGACAGTGCTGCCAGGCCCCTTTGGGGGACCACACCATCCTAGTCTACCTTGTCAAATGGGGAAACATATACATGGCTTGCCAGGATTGTCCAGATCTCCAAGCATCAGTTCCCAAAGTCAGAGGTGTATCTCTCCTTTGTCTCATTATTGTTTCATTCCTTTTCCCCCCACCAGGACCTCACCATGGATACAGACCTGACAGCAGCAAATGGCAAGAAAGTCAAAGCCCTTGAAATCTTCGCTTACGCCCTGCAGTACTTTAAGGAGCAGGCGCTGAAGGTAGGGTGGCGGTTGATGCCTGTCAGAGCATGTTAGGCTCCATCTCCAGGTTGATGCACCTGCCTGCGAGGAAGAGGCGCAGCCTGGAGGGAGAGAGCGCAGGCTCTGGATTCAGAACAGCAGGGTGCAGCCTCAGACGTTGCTGGTTAGGGAGGGGACTGGCATGCCTGACCAGAATGAACTCTAGTAGAATGAATCTGCCGACGTGGAGAGCCTGAGAAAGCACTTCCACCAAGCAGTCTGGTTACGAATCCTGCTGTCATGAAGGAGAGCAGCTGGTGGAGGAACCTGACATAATAAGATCCTCCATGTTGGTGTCTTTGCTTTGCTTTTTTTTATGGAGGAGGGCGGCAGTGCTGGGAATTGAACCCAGGGCTTTGTGCCTGCTAGGCCAGTGCTCCATCACTGAGCCACACCCCCAGCCTGCCTGCCTTTGCTGTCCACACTCTCTCCAGCCACTGTGGAGCAAAGGGCTCCTCTCAGCCTCCCAGACAGCCCAGAGAAGCCCATCCCTCATGTTCTGAGCCCTTTTCCTGTGCAAAGAGTTTAAATTGGCCTGCGTGGTGACTGGTCCAACACATCAGCCCCACGAGGTCCTGCAAAGAAACAAAACATAACCATAAAAAAATGGCTGTTTTATGTTGACCAAGGGCAGGGGTGTTTTAAAAATCATGTTTACTGAATGTACTTAACACTACTAGTCGGTACACTTAAAAATGGTTAAGATGGTAAATATTATGGCACATATATTTTTACCACAATTTTTAAAATTAGGACTTTTCAGTAAACAGCAAAAAAATTGTTTACTGATCAAAGAGGAAGTGAGTTCAGTGGGTCAAACAGGGATAACTATTCGAAACAATAGGGAATATCAGACACCCTCAGGAAAAGTAATTTCTTTCTTTCTTTTTTTTTTTTTTAAACCAGCCTGTTAATCTTGCGTCCCCAGAGCTGACTTTGATACAGAAGTGCCTTAGTGTGTGTTTAGGTTTGATCTCAGATTGGTCTGGTAAATGTGGCAGTGGGAAGGGGAAGGAAGGAAGGATCTAGCATTGATCAGAGGCTGTCTTCAGGCCAGGCATTCCACAAACTTTTCTCAGTTTTGCTGCGGGTTTGTTTTATTCTCCCCATTTTGCAGATGAGAATACGAGTCTGAGATCTCCAACAGCGACTTATCTGTGGTGGCCAGGTGGAAAAATCTCTGATGCTTTGGCCACACCATTTATCTTCATGGGTCCCCCTGATGCAAAATAACCTTAACTGAAAGTAGAAGGCCGCGTGGTCCTTAGTTAGGTCATGTCATTCGCACCCTTCCTGTTTGGACAGGAAAGTTCCTCTCATATGCTGGGCTTGCAGAAGGTAGATGACACCCTCAATAGAGGCTGCCACCAGTAGTGCTCCTGTGGGTCCAGCGCTGCTGTTCTAGACATGAGATGACATGTGACAATTTAGTTAAGACCTTGGCCTTTAGAGTCAAGGTAGACCTGGGTCTGGGTCTAAATTTTGGCTCTGCCACTTTCTAGCTGTGCAGTGGTCACAGGAATTGAGTTTGTCCAAGTCTCAGCATCCCCATCCAGGAAAGGTGCACAGTTAGTATCCCTTCCTATGTGGGTTCTTGCAGAAATAAGGCCCTCAAAGTGCTCAAAGGGACTGACACATAGTAAGCCCTCAGTAAGTGCAGTTCTCAATCCTCCAACAACCCATAAGTATTATTATCACCCTTGTATAGACACGAGAACTGAGGCCTAGGAGGTTGTCATTTGTCCAATGTCCAAAGACTAAGAAGTGACCAAAGGGATTTCCCTCTGACCACCTCCCTCATTTCTGAGTGACATTCAGTGAGCTCTCTTCTTGCTGAATATTCAAAAAAAACAGACTCTTGCCCCACTGACCCTGGAAAGTTGCAGAGGCTAGATTCCTGGGAAGTCCCTGGTGGGAGCTGGATTCTCAATGAAGCCTCTGGAGGTGTGCTCTCGGACCCACACTGCCACCTAACCCATGGCATGTGTCTCCCTGACTTTAGGAGCTGAGTGACCAGGCGGGTTCGGAATTTGAGAACTCGGATGTCAGATGGGTCATCACGGTGCCTGCTATCTGGAAACAGCCGGCCAAGCAGTTCATGAGACAAGCTGCTTACCAGGTGAGGGCAGGGGCCGGGCAGGTGGGACGGCAGCAGAAGGACCCAGGATGCTCATGGTGGTGACTGTAGCCCTGCTCAGGTATCACCCAGTATTCACAGGCCTCCAAGGGGACAGAGAGGAGGCTATGGGAAGGGACTTGAAGGGTCCCGGGGCCTGGGACAACTCTCTACATCCTAAGAGTCAGTTTTCTGAGTCTTCAACCTCAGGCCCAGCTGGTACCCATCACCAAGGCAGCAGGTGTCCCTGAGCCTCCATCACACCTCTTAGGAGACATCCTGACCACACTTCACAGGGGGATATTCTGACGTGGTTTGTGGCCATGTGTATGAGCCTTTCTATTCAAAACCCCCACAGAGTCTGAGCATAGTGAAGCGGCCGTGGAGCCCTAGTGTGGCACCCTGGGTTGGACACTCAGGGGCCTACTCCTCGCAGCATCCAGAACATCCTTTCCAACCGTCAAGGGTGGGGAGCACCCCTCCCGCACGCGCTCCCCTTTCCCGGCTGCTTCCTCCTCTTCCCTTCCTTTGGGAATCTGGCTCCCTGAATGGATCTGCCAAAAATAGATTTGTTTTCGTAGGCATGAGAGAAAAGGGTGGAGGTTCCAGAAAAAGGCCATTTCTTTAAGATGGAAAGGGGGAAGGAGCCATCTAGCTGTTCACAAAAGCCCTCACCAAAGATGGGGCAGTGGGACACGGCCGTTGTGAAGATGCCGCCCAGTGCTCAGAGCTTTCCTCGGGAAGGAGATTCAGGATTCAGGGCTTTGACTCACATTTCCCAGGCCACAGGAAAACTTGAGCAACAAGTTTGTGACCTGATAAAGGGTCAAATTGTATTTTTAGCCTGATTAAGAAAAAAGAGGGGCAGTTCCTGGTCAGTTCACCAGGGCAGGTCATCCTAGGATGACCTCTCTGAATGGGTGAGGCCCACACTGGAGAGCCTGAGGAGGAAACCAGGCCCCGGGAGGGCTTCGGAATAAAAATGGTCCCTCAGAAAGAAAAGGGCCAGCAGCTCCCATCAGGGACAGCTGTCCAGCATTGTGAACTTGCTTTCTGAAGCCCAGAGGCACCCTGTAGGCAGGGCCTGACTTTTCCATACTGGGGGACATTTTCTGGGCCAGTATTCTTGCTGTTTAGGCTTTAACTCTTTATGATTTTGCTTTGATACTTGTGTGCAGTTTACAGTGGCCCAGTGGATTTAAAGATGGCAGAGGTCATTCTTGCCAAATCATCAGTTTATTCATTAGACACACCTACAGGCCTCTGTGTGCCTGGACTGTGGCAGGCCTTTGGTTCATCTCCTGCCTAGACAGGACCCTGTGTTCAGGTTGCTCGTGGAGGAGCAGTTTGGGGCTACAGGGGGTGCATTAGGGTTGTTTTGTGGACTTATAGGTGGTCTCTTCAGCTTGTCTTCTGAAGAGTTCCAGGGTAGAACCAAGTCAGGCTTGCTACATCACTCCATGCTCTACCACCCCGCCATTATTATATAGATGAAAAAGATACTATACCTATACCGTGAGAGTGAATTTTATGGGTCAGCTTGACTAGGCCAGTGAAATGCTCAGCTCTCTGGCTAAAATTATATTCTGGGGGTTCCTAGGAGGGTGTTTTAGATGAATTTGACATTTAAATGGCTAGACTGAATAGAGCAGATGACCCTCCCTTGCGTGGCTAGGTGTCCTCCAACCCACTGAAGGAATGAGTAGGGCAGAGGACGGACCCTCCACTGAGTGGGGAAAAAAGCCTTCTGCATGTGTTTGAGCTGGGACGCTGGGTTTTTTCCCTGCCTGTGGACTGAAACTGAAATGTGGCTCTTCCTGGGCCTGCAATCTGTGGCCTCTGGATATAGGATCTACGCCATTGGATCCCCTGGGGCTCCAGCTTGCTGACTGCAGATCTTGGGACTTGTCAGACTATAACTGTGAGCCAAATCCTTCCAGTCTTTTTTTTTTTTTAATATTTATTTTTTTAGTTGTAGTTGGACACAATATTTTTATTTTGTTTTTATGGGGTACTTTGGATGGAACCCAGGGCCTTGCACTGCTAAGCAAGTGCTCTACCGCTGAGCCACAATCCCAGCCCCCAATCAGTCTCTTTGTATGTATCTCTACATCCTCCTGGTTCTGTCTCTCTGGAGAACCTGGCTAATACAACACCTGAACAAAACCCATAGTCCTCAGCCCAGCGACTGCTGAGCATGTTCAAAGGGCATCCATCTGCCCACAGAGCATCCCACCAGACTGACTTCATGCATGAGAACCTGAAGAATGAGGTAGGATGGGAGGGCTGTCAGGGCAGCTGGGGGACTAGGCACCTCCACTCTGCTTGGGTGGGCAATGTGGAGATCTTTCAGGCTTATGGAGGCTTCCCAGGTACAAGTTCATGACACAGTCACATAGGGCTGGGCTTCACCTCCCACCTGCCAGGTGGAGGGGAAAGAGGGGCAGAGTAGACCTGGGATGGCCCTCTGCTCACTATCCTCTGGTCTGGATAGTGAGTCACATCTTTGCCCATGAGGCCTGCAGAGCCATGCACGCAGGTATATTTCATCTATGGGACTCCCCGGACTTGTCTGGTCTCAGTGCTTCTTGAAGAAATGAGTCAAACCTCAATCTTTTATAATCCACAGACTCAGGATCTGTATAGACTTTTGGAGAGCATTGGTGACAAGATGGTAGTGGAAAGAACAGCCGATCCCCCTTCCAAGGCCTTTGGGAAAGATCTGGAACCAGGAAAGAGTTCTACTGGACTGATCTAGATTTTTCTAAAGGCATCTTGCCTAAAATGTCTAACTGTAGAAGGTTCCAGAAACCTGTTAAATAAATGATGTTCCCATATGTACGATGATCTCATCTAACATGGAGACGCAGCTTGCATTTGCCTCCCAGTCTGAACAAGCTGCATGAGAAACAGTCCTACCAGGGGACAGAAGTGCGTCACACCCACTGGTGGTGCAGCTGTAGCCCTCTTTAGCCTGATGACAGGCCAGCAGAGCACTTACCAGTTCTGGCCGTTTTTCTCAGCTATGGACACAGTCTCTTGGCGGATCTTCCTGGCAGATTGCAGAGGAGGAGGGCTGTGGAGCTGAGCAGTCGGGGTAAACACCCACTTCCGCGGGCTCCCCAGGGCCTTCCCCTGCTGAGTGGAGCTCTTGATCACAAAGCGAGGCTCTGAAAAGCTACTATGAGGAGGCTGCTCTTGCTGGCCCAGATTCCCGGAGGAGTCAGTGGGGGTAGCAGGTAGCAGGCTCCCGGTTCAGGCACTTTGTAGAATTCCCAGGTTGTGCCTGTGGAACGTGTGTGTTCAGCAGAGGTAAGGGTCAGAAAAGTGCAGAAGAGAGGCTGGCTAGAGGGCTGGTCGATTCATTGCCTTTTCAGCTGCCTTCTGAGCACCTACTATGTGCTACAGGGCGAGGAGACCTGACCGATGCCCTTAGAAAAGGCACTGTCTGTGTAGGTGGAGACAGAATCTGTGAAGTGTGCGGCCAGGGCCCCTGTGGAGGGATACCTCACAGTGGACGAGGAGCAGTGTGGTACCAGTTCCAAAGGCAGAATCAGTGAAGAGCATGTTCTGCTCCAGCTGAACTGGCCTGATCTCAGGCAAACAGAGCCACGGGTCTCCAGAGGGCCGCGGTTGTGAGTGGCTGCAAGAAACAAAAGTTTTCAGAGTCTGGCCCGTTCCCTCCTGTTCTTGGAATCTTAAGTGAGTCTGGGACTCCTCCTGGGGAGATGGAATTTGTGCAGAACCAGCTGCCTGCCCCACCCCCACCCTGCAGCTCTCCTCTGTGGCACTGCAGGAGTTTGTTGGTGGGAACAAGGTCCCTCTGCTGGGAAGTGTGACAGGGGGTGCTTGCTTTGTTTGGTCACCCAGACACTGAACAGCCCCTGTCTGATCTTGCTGCTTGCTCCCCTCTGGAGTGGGCTCCTCTTTACCCCTTGTCTGTATCTTCTCCCAGATGCAGTGAGGAACCCCTGTAAGGAAATGTGTCACAACTATTGCCATGGAAGCCAGGCCAGACCAGCTGGGGAGGGACAGGACAGATGAAAGGTGCCCCCTGCAGGTCCATGCAGTGCTGTTTGGGGTAGACTGGGGTTAGCTTGGTATCTCTTTTTGATATTAGGATATGGGAGCGTCCCAACTGCCCTGCTGGGTTGTCACCTGCACACCCAGACACCCTCCTGTTGTGTCATTTCACTCGAGGCACTTCATGCCTCTGGACTTCTTGATTTGATTTTCCATGGAAAGATTTTTCCCATCTAAGTCGGACGGAGTTCCCGCTTGGAATCTCAGGAGCAGGGCAGGCAGAGGAACCAGGAGTTCACATGTAGCTTCTTCTACCCTCCTGTCCCCTTCTGTCACAGCGCAGGCCCTCTCTAGGTTGATATCCCAGACAGACTAACAGTAATGTGGCCTTTGAGTCAGCAGGGTCTTTGCCTGTGTCTTTTAACACTGAGTCTCTGGGCTGCACCATGGGGCTCTGTCCCCACAGTCCTCACTGCCCCGCTGCCTAGTTTATTTTCTGGTCTCAACTTAGCCAGAGACTGTGATCCATGCAGGCCCAGCTGTTCCTTGGCAGCCGATCTTCCCTATTCCCCGTCCGTGCTGGGAAGCTGGCCTCCTGCTCTTCCAGGAGGCCCTTGATGCACCAGATGCAAGAATGGAAACTTCAAGGCATGAGCTGTCCCTTAGAAGGGTTCCTTCTGGTCTTATTTTGGATTTCTTCTTCTGGGACCCTGAGACCCAAGAATTCAAGGTTTCTTGGTGGCACTGCACATGTGTGACCCGCACCCTATTTCCTTGGGCCCCTTAACTTTCAACCATCTTTGTGCTAAAAGGATGTCTAATGTGACCCTGGGAGAAGGTGAAGCTGGAGAATGGAGACTTTTAATTGCTTCAACAAATAATGGAAAAATCTCTTCATGCCTTAGTCAGTGGCCTGTTGACCAGTGTCACGTAAGGGTGGCCCTGGCCTCTTCCACCACTGGACCAGGCTGATGGGCCTCCGTCTTCCTATGTGGATCCTGAGCAGCAGGGGTTGGAGGCTCCCTGTGGATGGTGTAGGACTTAGGTGTGGCTCCCATCTGGTTTTATAAAGCCTGACTTCCAGAAGGGGCTCTGCCACTTGTGAGACATTGATATTTACGGAGTGATTTTCTGTCACCAACCTACTGGTAATACCTCCTTAGGACACCATCGACGACATTTCCTTGTGGGTGTAGTTGTAATGGAGAACTTCTGACAGCCCATTCAGGCAGTGAGTCATCTGATACTGTCCCAGAGTCATTGGTGAAACACGGTGCCTCAGAAACGTCGAGGAGGGAGTGTGAGGGGCACGGGAGAGTTTTGTCACAGTGCCAGGGCTGGCTGGGGACCTGTAACTGGAGGCACTAAGAGCAGGAGAGCCAGTAGCAATTTAAAGAGCCTAGTCTGCAGGTCTCATGTTATGGGTTGCATCTGGAATGCCCCAAAGCTCAGGGGTTGAATACTGGGTCCCCAGGGGATTCAGAGGTGGGGATTTTGGGAAGTGATTGGATGATGACCTCATTTGGTGGACTAATAATTTGAATGGACTACTGGGTGCTGGTGGAAACTGTAGGCAGGAAGAGCATGGGTCACTGGGGGGGGGTGTCCTTGAAGACTATATCATGTCCCTGGCCTCGACTTCCCACCTCTGCTGCTGGGCTGCCATGAGCTAACAGCTTCCCTCCACCACACCCTTCTGCCTTACTGTTCATCCCCCCTCAGACTCAATGCAACAGAGCTGACTGACCATGGAGTAAAACCTCTGGAACCAAGATAAATCTTTCCTCCTTTAAGTTGTTCTTGTTTAGTTTTTTATCACAACAAAACGCTGATTAATATTACTCAAGACCCCAGCCTGCGCTGGTGCCACCATTTAAGGGTTGGACACCTTCCAGCAGGACTGTGCTGTTTTAACACTGAAAGTCTCATGTCCCAGGAAATCCCATTATTCTGGGCATACTGGGACAGCTGGTGCCCCTACTGCTCTGGGCCTTGGTCTTTGTACGTTCAGTGAAGGAGGTGGTCAGAGTCTCCGAAGGCCTGTCACATTTCTGATGTTCTACCTGAATCTGCTTGTTCCTTGCTCTTGATGGACCCTCCTAAGCCCCTATAACCATGGCTCTAGGCCAGCTCCTCCTGAGGAGAGGTTTTTCGTGCAGGCACGACGTTAGGAAAACTTCCATGCCTGGTCCATGAGAAGAATCCACTAAACCTTGAGGGTCTGGTGTAGAAGAGGGTTGCAGAAAGGGGCTTCCTCCCAAGTGGATGTGGCACGAGGGCAGGTGTCCTTGGAAACACCAACAAAGCAGCACAGTGGTAATGGGAACCATGTGTGCCCTGTCCCTCCTGTTGGTGGCCAAGGAAACCCCGTGCACCTGAACAGCCTCCACTGTGGACCTCCTGTTCCAGCTCAGGGCCGTAGGAGGGGCAGGGATCTGGTTACCGGCCCAGGCCCATTTCTCTGAGCACCTTCAGAAAGGTGGTCCTGGGGCTTCATGGCTGGCCCTTCTTAGGACCTGGAAGGGGCTTGACTGGGACGGGTCACGTGTCACAGAACTGAAGCATTTCTGCCTCCTGGAGGCCAGGATCCCAAATGCAGATGGAGACCACAGATGAGAATTTGGGGACCAAATTTTCACGACTATATTTGACATGTATATGTGATATAAACTATGAAAAGAATAAAGGCTTTGATAAGATACTTGGGATGACTTCCCATATTTAGAAAATGAGGGACTCCTTGGGGTTCCAGGAGGGGCTTCCTCAACCAGGAGCGACTGCTTATACATTTCCCCAAGCAGGCAAATGGCAGGAGCCTCCCAGTGCTCCGCAGAGAGCCGATCAGACGCCTGTACAAGTCAGATGCTCGCCTAGCTGAGGTCTACAAGGTGGGGTCTGCTGTACTGCCCACCATAACCCGGGAACAGATCACCTGCCTCTGACCTGGGATGATTTTCAAAGTTTGGAGACTTTTGTAACTCTGTCTTTCCCACTTGGTATAGAACCCCATCTGCATCCTACAGCCCAGAGACACCCCGCCTCCTCCCTGGTACTTCTCAACTCTGGGTCAATCAAGGCCCAAGTGCAAGAGGTCCCATGGCCAGAGCCTTGTGTTTCTTGAGGGTGCTTGTACAATTTCTTTAGCCACCCTGAAGTGTTTGGGGCTCAGTATGCCAAAGTCTGCGTGGGACTGTCCCAAACATGCAGAGCGTGGGTGTCCCTTCCTTGGGAGTGTCAGACCAAGGAGACATCAACAAAGCAGCACAGTGGTGACAGGAACCATGTGTGCTCTGTCCCTCCTGTGGGCGGCATGGTGTCTCTGAGCCAGCCTGCCCAGGGAGCCCTGGTCCTAGCCTCAGCTTCTGTCTTCCAGGCAGGCCTGGCCTCTCCTGAGAACTCGGAGCAGCTCATCATTGCCTTGGAGCCTGAGGCCGCCTCCATCTACTGCCGGAAGCTGCGTCTGCACCAGATGATTGAGCTGAGCGGCAAGGCGGCGGTCAATGGGTACAGCGCCAGTGACACAGTAGGAGCGGGGTTTGCACAGGGTACCTCTGCTCTCTCTCTCCCTCCCTCCCCCCGCCCCCGGGTGTTTCTCTACCTCTGATGATGTTGGAGGCACTTAATGCCATAAGGAAGGATCAAGATACCTTAGGAGGAGGCTGGCTTTAAGCCTCTTTGTGTCAGCCTCCCTTCCTGGCCTCTTGGAGGACTAAGCAATGGTCACCTGGCATATCACCCATAAGTGCCTGGAGGGGCTTCGTCAAGGACCTGAAGGTAGCCAGAGAGTTGTTCATCAAACCCGGGCCTCATGCTCTCTAGGCAAACTCTCTACCACTGAGCCACACCCCCAAGCCTCAGCTTTCTAGCCCTGGATCTTTCTTGCCTACTAGCTGATTCTCCCTCTAATCCCAGTTTCCTGTTATTATTTCCTCCGTTAAGACTGTCCATTTATTTCTGACTCACTCAGTGGGGCTGCTTTCTGGGTGATGAGCTCATTGTGTGTCTTAGCGGAGGTTAGAATACAGATGGAATGGGCTGACCTCCTGACCCAGGCGATGCTCACTTAGCTGTGGGAGGAACACCCACTTGGGGAGGCTCAGGGTGAGTATTTGGAGGAAGTTTCCTTTTTATTAGTTATTTTTCAACTAGTTACCTGCATCCAAGTGGGTCACAATCTTGGTCCCTAGAACTGTTTTCCCTGGTGTCCAGGGCTCTATGGGTCTCTCAGGGCTTCAGCGTTTGCAGACAGACTAGGTCAGGGACAAAGCACCACATGAGCATGGGTGCCAGTGGATTCCTGGGCTCCAGAGTTGTAGGCTCTGCTTTATTCCCAGATGAGGACCAGGAAGCCTGCGTCTGTGTCCCAAGGCCCTGGCCTCTGCTGACTCTGAGAAGATACACATTCCTGCCCCTGCATATGGGGGTCTTTTCCAGGCTGCTCCTCTTCCTCTTCACAGGGGCAAGTGCCCTGGGGGGGTCACCTCTTTGCATTGGAATCCCTGGAGTTAGGAGTCTATAAACCTCAGCCAGGAGGCTGTAGTAGGTCTGTTTGTCATCAGGCTACTGCCACAGCCTGCTAGGGCTGTGTGATAGTGCCTTAGAGCCGATTTCCCCAGAAATAATGAAACAGGCTTCACTTTAAACCCTAGGCCTGGATTACCCCTAGTCATGCTGTAGCTCCCCAGGGAAAGTCGAGGCTGGCCTTACAGCTCACTAAGTCAAACACGGTAGCACTTACATACTTGGGACATCATGTACTTGTATAGGTTTCCTTCTTTATTGTTTTCATTGGAAAAAGGGGGAGAGACTGAGCTTATATCTTACATGTAAATTCTCAGTTGTTCATGAAAAGAAATTCATGTCAGGATCAGCTGATTCTGGCATAGCTCTTCTTATGTACTCTGTGAATAGAACACATTTTGGGGGGAATCTGATTTTTGATCATAGCATTCCCCAAGAGCTCAGTTTTGTGTTTCTTCTTCTTTAACAAATCACATCTCCCCCACAGGGCTCTGTGTCTGTGTCCTGTGGCTCGTGGAATGTGCTGCTGTCTCTGTGTGCTCAGAGGGCTTTCTAGATTTTGAAATCCTCAAATTTTTGGACACCACACTTCCAAGGGGCCCTAAGGCAGGGGATCTGGTGTCAGCCTTGCTTTACAACTGGGAAGCCGCTCCCAGAAGGAGGGGGTGCTGCAGCAGAGCACTTAATCAGGATGCCCGAGGTGCTTGGAGGCTCCCTTGTGAAGGGGGTCCAGTTAGGCCCCGAGGAGTAGAGCTGACACGCGGCTCCCTGAACGCAAGGTTTGCCATTGGTGCTATTTTATTGTAAGGATGAGATCAATAAAGGACACCGTTGTCTCCCCCCCCACACACACACACAAATAGTGGGCTTAATCTGCCTGAAAGAAATAGGATAATTTTTTGAGAGCTCAGTACGTGTTCTGTTCGCCTCACTTGGCTGTTTTCATGAAGGCCATCATATGTGTCATCTAGACTGTCTCAGACAGCAGATGCCCACTGCCAGGTCTGTAACAGAGGTTCATCCCAAGGAACAGGAAAGAAGCCCTGAGTTTGGGGGCCCTCCTGGGACACTTCCCACTCCAATCTAACCTAGGCCTTGAGCACTTGGAGTCGGCAGAGCTGACGGGGCATCTGAAGTTCTGATCCCCACAGAAACTGTTTTGCAAACACTGTGCTCCTTGCAGAAAGAGGATTGCGGGCCAAGGGTGCTGTATTGGGTAACCAGCAACCAAGGGCAATCCAAAGACAGCAGCACCAGCTCAGGGACTAAAAAAACATCCAAACAACAACATGGTGGTGGGGATGGGTGGCAGAGCCTTCTTCCTGGTCTAACTCAGTTATGGTAGTTGTCGTTTGATGAGCACCAGGTTTCATAGTAGGTGCTTTGCCTTCATTATCACCTACTATATGCCAACAAGGAACTGAGGCCAACTATCAACATCCCCTCTTTATGGATGAGGAAACTGCAGCTCAGAGGAGTTAAGTGATTTGCCCCAACTCCCACCTTGGCTGTGTCCTTTCACAGTGTCTTTCTCATTTCTAACATCTCATTATTCTGCTTAATCAAATGTCCCTGTAAATCATGAGTGTGTCAGGGTCTGTGGGTTCATTTTGAGCTGCAAGACAAGAGTTGCAAGTTCCTTCACCTCGCCTGACCTGGTTTCCTCATCTGAACATAGGACAGTGGTTTGTACTCTATCCTTCTCATACCCCAGCAGCCCAAGCCACACTGTGGACTCAAGCAGAGGTTGTCCCCAGGATTCGTGAGCAAGTGCCAGGACAGGCAGAGTTCAGATGCCACCTTGTGGCTGAAGCGCCACCTTGTGGCTGAAAAGCATACTGGCTTCAACAGTGTCAGGAAAGGGCTCAATTCATTTACCTGGGATCCAGATGACATACCCCACTTTCCTTTGTATTGGACAAAGTTCCTTGATGTGAAGTTGTTTAACTGAGCTCACTGCAGCCTAATTGGCTCAGGGCTTCCTCCCTGGGGCAGTAAAGCTGGGACCTTGATTTTATTAACCCAGTCCCCAAAAAATGTCACCAGAGGAAGGGAAAGTCATCAGGGTGAGATTTCAGCTAGGCACAGGCCAAAGCTGGCCAGGAGATGAAGAGATGAAGGCTGGTGTAAAGAACCACCTTCTCTTAGAGGAACTGGCTTTGTGATTCCGAATGCTGTGTTTATTAATTGTTTTGATCACCTATAAGTAGACGTGCCATTCCTGAGCCTCCTCCTCGTGCTGTTATCTCTGCCAACTGCAGATGACTGTCTGCATTTTCATGCTTCCTTACCCATCGTCCTTTTCTTTCTATTGGCTGCTAGCTAAGGAACATGTACGGCGTAATCGTCAGAGTCGGACCTTTTTGGTGGAGAATGTCATAGGAGAAATCTGGTCGGAGCTGGAGGAAGGTAGTATTCTTGAATACCCTTTGCCCTTGCTAAATTTTATGTATTTATCATTTGTGTGTGTGTGTGCTGCTGTTTTTGCATTCCCATTTGTTCCTTCTGCACTGTGGGAAAATGTTCAAACTCAGTGGGTTTGGAAGGCCACTCACCCAGGTGGAGCCCTTTTGGGAGCTATAGTTTTGCATGTTGTAAAATCATGCAGACTCTTCCCAAGAAAGGTAGGAACTAGAACTCCCTCGTCCTGGAGTAAGTCTGGTGTTAAACAGCAGGTAATGGTATGTGCCTGGTATGTGGCATGGTGTGACATGCATGCTTTGGTCATCCAGAGCCCTCTTCTGGGTTCTTCATCATCCATGCTTCGATGGCCCTCTGAATAACTTGCTAGGCTGCTAATTAGCAAAACCATGTGCTAGGCTGCAGTGCCGGTGGTGCTTAGCTGGGTAGACCAAGTTATCATCCACCAGCTTGTTTCAGAACGGGTTGACAAGTGGTTCTATGTAAAGAATGGCTGTGTCTGTACCAGGTGACAAGTATGTGGTTGTGGACAGTGGCGGAGGCACCGTAGACCTGACAGTCCATCAGATACGGCTACCCGAGGGACACCTAAAGGAACTGTATAAAGCAACAGGTGAGCCACAGCATGGCTGGTTTTCTCACCCATGAGCCCTTCCCAGATGGTTCCATTTCACTCATTTCAGACTCCTCACAGTGCTTCTTTCTCTTGCTGTCACCAGCCTGTGGGACCACAGGGGGTGCAGGACATTCACATCTCCACCAATAGGAAAATGCAGTTAAATGTTCTTTGAAGCCCAAACCACCTCCAACTTGACTTTTAGCATTAGGTGAGTCTGGCCAAGGGAGCTGGTTTCTGAAAGTTGTGATGTCACCTATGATTTAAGAGCTAAGGCCAGCTTTCTAGGAGGTCTCACAACATCTCATTTGGACCAAGGGCACCAAACCAAAGCATGTTCTTGCTCCTATTTAATTAAATGTATTGATCTTATTTGAAACATAATTGATTTTAGACAGACTGCTGATGATTTCTGTGGGAAAAAAATAATCTCTGCATATGGAGTGAGAACTTAAGGGTTCTGCAGTCCGCTGGCTGAGGGGGTCCAACTTTGCATTTCTTTGTGCATCAGAGGACACAGTGTGGGCTTTTTTCTCAGAGTTTGGATTTGGTTTCTGATGGTTTTTGACATCATGGGCTCCCATTTCATTCCTGACCCAGGTGGGCCCTATGGATCCTTGGGAGTAGATTATGAATTTGAGAAACTTCTGTGTAAGATATTTGGAGAGGATTTTATCGAACAGTTCAAAATCAAGCGTCCTGCAGCCTGGGTCGACTTAATGATTGCCTTTGAGTCTCGAAAGAGAGCAGCTGCTCCAGACAGAACCAACCCTCTCAACATCACCCTGCCCTTCTCCTTCATCGACTACTACAAGAAGTTCCGTGGGCACAGCGTGGAACACGCCTTGAGGAAGAGCAAGTGAGCTGGCTACCTATGGCTTGGGACGGTCTCGGGTGGATTGTGTTGGTCAGAGGTGGGAGGGTGGTGAGTTCCAGTCCCACACATTTGCTATCTTGGGCAAATGACTTGATTTCTCTACTACTCAGGGTTTTTTTTTTTTTTTTTTTAATCTGGAAAGTGGGGATAAGAGTTCTGCTTACCTCCTAGTGTTGTTGTGAGGATAAAACCCATTCATAAATATTAGGTACTAAGCACATTATTTGAGTCCTGAAAAGTGTCACCTTTGTGCTAGTTATTATGTTTTCTAAAGAATATCAGCTTTATGATAACAGGGAAGTTTAGTTTGGGTTACTGTTGAAATCTCAGTGTCTAGAAGAAAAGCTGGTACATAGTAGGGACTCAATATAATATTTGTTGAATAAATCCCATGGGAATCTGAGTTTCCTGCTTCTCTGAGACCCTTGGCTACAAGCAAGTATTTGTTGTAAAATAAATGTATTAGAAAGATGGTTTTAAGCTGAATTAAAAAAAAAAAGACAAAATCATAGGTTTTAATAAATATAGTTTTTTTTTGATATATATATAAATATATCTCCATATCCACAGGGGAATGATTACTACAGTCAAAGAAACTTACATATCCATCACCTCCTGTCACAGCCCAGCTGCAGCAAAATAACCGGGGGGGTGGTGACAAGCAACTTGTGTCCATTGATACAGCAGGAGTGGGAGCCGTTTATTGTAGGACAGGAGGGGTATATATACATTCCACACAGCTTATCTTAATTAACATAAACTAGATACAGCAGTCAACCAATAAGGAATCTCCACACTTAATGGCTCACTGGCGCCACCTCACAAACCACTCCCTCTGGCAAAATGCCAGGCGCCATCCTGACTTGTTTACAGACCCTAACATTTTCCCCTTTTGTTTAATTTAAATAATGACCATAGTGGTTTTTACACAAACACCATAAATAACCTGCTACAAACAGAAGGGGAGGATACAAAATGCCACAATACCAAGCCACTTGATGGCTCCATGCAAGAAGCCCTTGGAAAAATTATACCAGCAATGACACAGTTAGCAAAGATACTGAGTTAAAATTTGTTGTAGATTACAGTTTGTTGTCTCAGTCCAGGTAAAGCAGTGTCTCAATAGATTAACTCACAGTCCAGGTAAATCACAGTCCAGGTAAGTTCTGCAGGCAGCTAGCTTGATCAGAAGTTTCATCTGGTTCTCAGCAATACTGGAAATTCTTCCACCCTCGTCCTCACCGGCACTGGGATGAAGGCAGGAACTCCGGTAATGATGCTAAAGAAAATTCTGTAGTATTCCAGCAAGAAAACAACCTTCTGAACAATTTAGTACATTATCTCAAGGTTTGTTACATTTGAAATAGGCCTTAATGGTGCTCATTACTCATTAGCCTCCAGGTGTGGGAGAACCATTGTAGTTATTGACACTGGAAATGACCAAACTTTAGGGGCGCCATGTGCGTCCTCCGCTGGGCTGCAGCGTCCTGGGCAGCCCCAGACGGGAAGTGTCCCGGACTCAAACTGCCACCGGGCACAGGGAGCAAGAGCCTGTGAGACCTTGCCTCCAGGTCAGGTCTAGATTTGGGCTCTCGAAGTGGCGTCCCACTCCCCGGGCGGGGAGCGGGGAAGAGCCCTCTGCCGCTGCTTGGAAACTCCTTGCTGCGCCATGACCGGCTCACGCACGTAGCAGCCGCCATGCCAATTCACGCACCCTCCCTCCGGTAACG